CGGGGCTGGGGCTGCCGGGCGGCCGCGCTGGAGCGGGCGCCGCGCCGAGGGGGGCTCGGCGAGCTGCAGAGGACGGAATTCGGCCCCGCGGGGGAAGCCTGAACATTCTCCCACGGAGAATCCCTTGGGAAAGGAAATCCCCGCGGTGCGGAATCGAATGCCGCTTCGGAGGCCGTGCGGGCCGACTTGGAGCGGCTCCGGGAGGTTGTGGCGCCGCGTTTCCTGCGCTTCTGTGAAGGGGGATATGTATTAAGAGTACTGCGTTGTAGGGGCTTAGTAAGTAGTCGTAGGAAAGTTTAGCGCAGTGCCTCGGCACATTGTAAGCACTTGACAGTATTCCTTGCTGCTATGAAACGTGTTTCTATAATTTAAGTTGAGTTTAGCTACGATTTACTACTTTGAGCCAGAACTTACCTACTACTTCCTAGAAATTATTTAAAGCAAGGTACAGCCCAAAGCATGTAACATAGGAAAATCTATGAGTAAGGGAAGATAAATATATAGGCAAATAACTACGTCAGGAACTTGGAAAATATTTACATAGTTTCATACTGAATTTTATTCTATGTTCCCAGATCAAAAAATTAAAGGAGGTGAAAACTGTAGTGGTCTTTATTATTATCTAAGGAATGAAAAAAAAAAAAAAACTGACTTATCCAGAAAGAAAAAAAAATTGTAACGAGAAATGTATTACCTAGAATAGTACTCTAAATCTGAGTAATATGCCCTGGTTTAAAGAACAAAATTATTTTGAAACTTAACCAAGTACTTCTGAAAATTTCAGTTTAAGAGACAGTGGTGTAAGAAATTAAAGTCTAAACAATATGGGTGTATTTAATGAGATATATATATATATGGGTTAAGGCAACTGGACCCAGGGCCTTCACGCTGAACTACATCCCCAGTACTTTTCTGTTTTGAGACAGGGCCTTCTAAGGTTTTGGCTGGGTTTGGATTTGTAATCTTTCTGCCTCAGCCTCCCAGAGTGCTGAGGTTACAGCCACGGGCCACCACACGCAGCTCAGAATGCATCTTTTACAACAATGCTGTGGAAAGATCTAAAAAATTGTTCATATAGTTATGACAGTCGACTAAGTGAAAGGCAGGTATATAGTATTCAAAATCATATCCCTGCTAAGAAATTGCTGCAGGAATTGATATTTGATATCCAAAGGAAGCCAGGCATGGTGGCACATGCCTGTAATCCCATCACTCAGGCGGCTAAAGCAGGAGGATTGCTGAGTTTGATTGAGACCACCCTGAGCTACAAGTGAGCTCAAGGCCAGCCTGAACTGCATAGTAAGACCCTGTCTCAAAAAGATTTTTTTAAAAAAAGGAAGATTTCATTACATATTATATGAATTTTATGCAGATTTCTGTCTTCCAGCTCTTTGGTACCACACTTCCCACTCTCATGAGGTTGTAAAATAATATTCCAAGAAAGAAATAGGGGAGGATGTAGCTCAGTGATGGAGCACTTGCCTGGTGTGCATGAGGCCCTGGGTTCAGTCCCAGTGCCACTGTGAAGAAGAGCTTTAAAGCTTTGCTACTGTGCTCTTCTCTGTGCTCTTCACAGTTACGCAAAGCGTGGTTGATAAATAAGGTTCAAGTTTCTGTCTAAAGGATTGGCCTGGGAATGAAGTCCTCTGTACTTAGAAAATTACATTCGGTCAAGAGATAAGTATCTCACCTCGGTAGTGTCCCAAATTTTCTGATCAAGAAGATTATGGGGCCAAAGAGGAAAGTGATCAATGACGTAGAGTGTGCCTAAGGAGAGTCACATGGGGAGAAGACACTCTCAGGCTTTCACAGAGAGCACATTGGCCAAGCAATGGCCGTGACTCATCCACATGGCTGCACTGACAAAGGTTCTACAAT